ACAAAACTGATAGAAAAAGGATAGCATCCTTGCTTATAGATCCAATACTATTCTATGGCTTAAAAGGAGAAATTTTTTTGCTCAATTGAAAAAAAGAGGAAAAACAAAGAATAAAATATTAAGGCAAAATATCAAGACTATTGCAATTGAAGTTGCTTTTAGTGCTTTTCAACCTAAAATGATTTGTATGCGATTAAGTAAAAACAATTTAAAAACTATAACAAGAATTCTTCTAAGGCATTATTGATTAAACTACGACCTATTATTCTATTTGTAGATTTTATATAAAATATTATAAAAATAATGGAAATTTGCCAAGCACTGATACACAAACGAAATAAATACATAGGACAATATCTCATATTGGGTAAAGAAATTAAACTCTGTAAAGTTGGTTCAATACTACTATTTCTAGAAGAACTTAAACTTAAAGGTATAATCTAAATCTATAAAAGTCACAATGCACTTCCATTAACATTATAGTAATAAAAATAATATATCTTATCAAACTTAAATAAAAATTGTTAGCTTTAATAACCTATTTATAGAATGTCAGATTCTCTATGTATGTAAATTGTTACCATACAATAATTATATTTATGTATAGCTGCGGTTTATGCGTTCGTTCTAATTGTTAGTTGTTATTTTTCAAAAAAAAAAAACAATAAATTTAAAAAAAAAAATTTAAATTTGAACAATAAAAATTGGTTAGTCTTATGTGATTAACAAGCGAATCAGTGATTTAAAATTGACAAGTTTAAAGTTTTAAGCTCTATAATTTTTATTAAAAAAATATGTACCCACTATTAACCGAAAATTATAGAAAGTCCATGAATCAGGCTTACAGAGTGTGTCGCAGCATTATGACCGAAACAAATAAGAATACGACCAGCATGATTTTTATTTTTAAGCTTCATTGATGCAATGGGTTTGGGTTTCATCTCATTTACTATACATTATTCCATAAATTACTAGTTTGCTTGCAGTTCGTACTCATCAAACTGACTGTTTCTTACATACCGATTTACTTTCTGTAAGAAATGTAGGAACGTGGAAGCGTGCAGCACATTACGGTAATCAAAACAAACTTTGGGGTCTCAAAAATTAGTTTTTTGTATTATACCTCGTTTTCAAAGCACTTTTTTAAAAAATTGTGACTTACATATACTTTCTTCGACCTTGTTAATTCAAATTCAATCGGCAGGTATGATACTGTTCATATATAACGGTTCACACATTTCAGTTGTGCGGTCCATAGAGCTTGAAAAATCGTAACGTCATCAACAAATAGAAATAGAAAATTATGGCGATATGTTTCTCATATATTGTTCATGTTATAAACTTAAGTTACTTCTCACATAAAATGTACTTTTATATTATATATGTGTACTATATATACATGTAACAGATCATTTCTAATAAATGAATCTATTTTATTTAAACATTTTCTAACAATTATGTTTCTTCAGTATATTTCTTTCTATTACATGCCGACCTTACAAAAACTACTCAGCCTCTTGTTCCAGTAACTGATAATGTAATTAAATTTTTTTTATATTCTTAATTAAAATAAAATATTGTCAAGTTAATTAGAGCATATCTTCGATTTTTAATTAAATTAAGGATTTTATAGTATTCTCTACTCTGAAAATTGTTAATAGTGCTTTCCGATACAGTGGCTTTCAAGCTTTTAACGACCAAATGTACTTTATTAATTGAATCTAATTTTACAGTTAAAATAAAATAATATTTAATTTAATAAAATATTTAATAAAGCAGCAGTTGAGGCTGGAATGAAAACGCTAACTGTAGATTTTAGTTGTTATTAACTAAAGACTAACTAAACTTTTAGTCAGGAGTATGTCAGACGATAACGACTATAATATAATATACCTATTTTTCGACCGGTAATGTCGTGCTTCAGTTATACAACAGTAACATATTCTCAGCGTAAGAACTTTTGGAAATATTAACGATGTATGTATAAATGGCGTTTGTCCTTATAACTACCATAAGATACTTTAATTAATTTCTAATCACTTGAAGAGACTAGCGCATTTTCAGTCATTTACGTCAAATTGTTAATTAATTATATCTTATGACTATTTTCAAAACAAAATAAATTAAATTATTGTACTAGTTTTATAGCTTAATTTCGAATGTTAAAATTACTTATTATAATTAAACTTTATTACCTACCACACTTCTGTTGTTGTGTCCAGCGCTTTATGGCATAATTGGTAATCCCTAATAACAATAAAACCGGCAACAATAGTACAAATAACGTACATCCGCTTAATCTCAACTACTAATTACTTCATGTTTTAGTTGTAAAAAGTAAAATAAATAAATAAGTGAACAAAGGCAATGGAAACTTAATTTACCACATAAAAGTTAAATAATTTCGAATTCTCTCATATGCACGCCCACAGTTTTCCACTTGTTTCGAACTTTTTGCTACAGTAGACGCTCGATTAACTAATTTAAATTATATTGCTCGAAAACAAAAGAAAACATATCAAGTGAAATACAATTTACTACTTCATTAACCTAATTACCTAATATAATTACCAATCAGTAGGTAATAAAATAATTATATATATATAATAACTGATAAAAAAATTGTTTTATTCTATGTCAAGTATATTAACCATAAAATTCAAGCTGTTTAATATAATATAATATATGTAACCCACTTGATTATCGAAAAGTAAATTTAGGTAGAAAAGTTCTAAGTTTCGACTTGTATCGTGTTTTCACTGTAACTAAAAGTTCTTACGTTAATGAAATTAAGATTTGGTCGTTTCCGTTGGCATAAGCAGATTTACGCATGCGAAATAGCTTGTTTGTTCACATTTCACAAATATTTCAAATTTTCCCTAATTTGCCTCTTGAGAAACTTTTTTTTAAGCGTTACATTCGACATTTTTCGCCTTAAATCAATTAATTTGTTTATAATGAGCTCATTTAAATGAAAGCTTTTTGTTTGGTAAATTATGCTCATTTTAATAAGCCTTAATAAACATAACTGCCTAAATGAGACAAGTGGAAACATTGTATTTGTATTAATTATTTGTTTGAACTCAGATGTTTTCTAGGAATGTCCATAAAAAATTAACTTAATTAACATATTTATGTTCAAATAAATTTTTTGATATTCAAACATAATTTGTGATATTTCAACTAACTTCACATTCTGAAAAGTCAAATTTCTTGAGGTTCTGATAAATAGGAAAGAATAGTAAAGAAAGAGATTTTTTCTTACAATAAATTATTATTGTTATTATATTGGGGGATTACACTCTACTAACTGAATGCATATTATGCCCCCTTAGAGACACAAAGTTCTTTTCCAGCACCGACTTCAATAATTAATTGTTATACTGAACCCAGATTTTCAAAACTTATTTATTTAGCTGATATGAGATGAAAAGTATCTGATCTGTATTTGGATGTCAACAGCGACTATTGAATAAGAATCAATCCGAAATTTTTTGACTAATATGAAGAATAAAAAGTAGTAAGATTTATAAATGTGCATTATCTGCGTTAGACACCTCAAAGACAAAGGCACAAGAGAAGAAAGTCGCCCTCAAAGGCATGCGTTGATTAGCAATAAAACCCAAAAAAGGCATACATTTGATTATATAGTGGATGAAGTAGGAGATATGCAAGTATAAAATTGAAAGCAATAGGCAATAGACAGGTTGGCATGTAAAAATATCGGTGGTAACCGTGTAACAACTCGTTCTTACAGATTAAACAATTAATTACGATATGTGATCAGACTAAAAATCACATTATGGTGAGTTTTATGGTATTTTAAACATGCCCCTAGTTTTCTATGTGTTACTTGATATACAATCCTAAGTTATCTTTATGTACTAAGTGTGAAAGATGAAAATATATTTATTATTATAAGGGGCTAAGATGCGCTGCATTGGCTTAGATTGACCTTGACTTTCAAGTCCTAAGTCTCTTAATCTTAACTCTCTTTTCTAATTACTAGAATTTTAGTGGGTTAAAGTCTTAACAACCATAAAAATAAAACCTGGGGAAAAAAAGGACTCTACATCCAGTATACATCCATTGTGTATATTTTTACATTTTAATATAGTAAATGTAGTTTTAGCTCAGTTTTAGAGCTACGTGTGCCTGAGAATATATAGAGGTATAAAAATGAGACACAAATGATTAAGTAGAATTCTGCGGAGAGCTGTGCATTCATATAGATTGTATCTTGAACGTTCCATATACATTTTATAATATTAACAAACATTATTGCGATATCTGCGGTATGGCTCTGAACTGATTTCAATAGGACCGCATCATTCATGTCGCGGATAGAAGAAAGACATTAACCTTTCATTTACAGTATTAAATTAACGGTCAAACTTTTATCATGTTACACATCATATCACATGTTATCGACAGTTTACTGTAACATTCTTTTTTTGCTGTATTATTTGCTATTTTAGTATTTCGTGTCATTTTTATGTCGACATTTTATATTTCAGCTACAAAACATAAACTTTTTAGTTGTTAACACGAAATTGTTTAAACTTTGCTTTTATTGCTAATGTTGCTGCTGTTATTGCTGTTGTTATTGTTGTTGTTGCTGCTGACATAACACATGCTCATTGCCTTGTTCATTGTATTTTTTGTGATTGTTGTTGCTGTTGCTGTTGTTGGTGGTTTTTTTTTTGCATTCTCTTAAATAAGTTAAGCAATATAAAAGTTTCGTAATGAAATATTTCTCAAATGAGTAAAATTTAATGAGCTCGGAAAAACTGCACAGATACTCGTACTGGTGTTGACACAACCACACAAAGTAATGAAAAGCGCACATAGCCATAGAAACATAGAGACATAGACAAGCGAGATTCACACTAATAGAGATATGTCACTGTTACTATTTTTAGACACAATTTCGATAGACTTACATGAATAGACAATTATGTTTAAAAAATTATCAATTAGGATATGGAAAATGAACTTACCTCACGTCCCTTACAGTGCAACGTATCGTAAACTTCTGGTCGGCCTTCAATATTTTTTAAACGTATTGGTTTGCGTAGTAGAATAGGACGTCCGTCCTCGTCAAGATGTATGAAGCTACCAGCACGCGAGCGATAATCTTGTGACATTTTTCTGGGTGTATTTTTCGGTGTTGGTGATAATTCGCGTGCATTGCTGCTGCCTCCAAGCCCAGTTGCTTTGCTGCTACTGCTGCCACTGTCAATTTCAACAACGACACTTGTATTTCGATTCGATACGGCCCGTTCACGTACCGGTGAAACTCGTGCATGATCAATACTAACATTGCCGATAGAACCACGTGCCGAAACGCTCGGACGGTGCTGCTGTTTGACAGGTGTGACATTGGCACTATTGGTAGCAACAGCAGCGTTACCAACGCCATTTCCGGTTGTTGGTGGATATTCATCGCGTCGTGTATTATTTTCCGTTTGATCACTGCCGCCGCGCTTAGTGGCAAGTGGGGAACTGCTAATGCTGTTGGAGTGTGCATGCGTTTGTGGGTCGTTTGTGAAAACATTGATTCTTTTATTGCTGTCATTTTCCAGTTGTGCTTCCGTTGGTACTGGTTTCGTTATTTTCACAGCATTTGAATTTATTTTTGCAGCCGTAACTGCATTTGCACCCGATGGTCCTGCATTGGTTGATTGTTGCTGATTTTTTTGCTGTTGCTGCTGCTGTTGCTGCTGCTGTTGTTGGTGCTGAATTGTTGTAGGAATACGTTTGGTTGCCACGAATCGCAAGTTTTCGAGTATTGACACGAAATGCTGTGACATTTTGAATTGGAATTTATTTTTTTAATCCTTGAAATACAGATTTTTTTATTTCTTTACTTGTTAACTCCACTAAACCATTTCTAATAGCTTTCGAATATTGACACTTCAAAAATCTGAAAATAAATTAAGGAAATTTTTTTAATTTATTTAAACTTACTACGTATATATTAAATTCTACATGTGATAATTTAATTATTTTTGCTTAATCCTTATCAATTTTAACGTTAGTGGTTTATTAAATCTCTACTAAGTAAAGCATCTCCAATGTAACCTAATTACTTTATTTAATTACATGCCGATAGTTTCTAGTTAAGTAATATAAAACTTAATAAAAACATTCTGTTTTTAATAGCTCACGATCAATATTTTTTAAATTAAGAACCAACAACCAACAAATTGATCCAAAATGATCTTGAATCCTACTTTCCACTTACGAATTGTTTTAAATCAAAACTCATTTCCAGAATGTGCAATATGAGATTATAGAAAACGATTATTCTGACCTTATACTACACAATATACAGATCGAAACTCTATTCCATGAATGTGTTCAATTAAACCTGAATAGAATTAAAGGTCAAAATAACTCAAAATTCTTGGGAGTAATATTTAATTAAAAATTGTTATAGAAAAGTCACATTAAGAAACTGATAGAAGACTTACAAAGTAACTATCAGACCGATTATCTTCTATGGAGCAATAATCTGTATGTTAATAGTGACTATTACGTATTACGATAATCATATAAATATGTGCAATGACATCCTCTAAGGTGCTCTTATAACTCACACCTTTTCAGTTTCATATTCACATCCAAGTTAAGAGGAGCATTCTAAGGATAACCAAATATAACGTTGAATGAACCAGTATGGGCAAGAGATGTGATAAAAGTATCACAAGAGCTATGGATACATGTCGATAACATCCATTAAGATTCTCTTCAATCTCACATCTCTTTAGCTTCATACCCATAAATCCAAGTTAAGAGGTCCATTCTAAGGACAGTATTGGTAATAGGTATGATATAATTATTATAAAAGCTATGCATTTTTACCTTCATATTAGCTCTCAAGTTAAGTGGTGCGATTTAAGAATAACCATATGTCACTTTGCAAGTAGAAAATAAATCTATCAAGAATATTGTAATAAAAATAGATTATTAGACCTTATCACCTTAAAAAACTGGAAACTTACTTTAATGCAACTCATAGTTTTTTTGTAGTATGGAGAATGAGTTAGCAAAAAATATGTCCACCAAGGTGTGGAAAGACATTATATCGGACCCGTAAATTAAGTTCGACACAAAAATTTATTAAGGAAATTAGACTCAGAAAAATACAAAATAACTCAACTCTTGGTTAGGGATATAATGATGCTTATTTTAATAAGAAGTGCTCTTCCATAGCACTAATTATTTTTTTTTAATTTTTATTTTACCAAAACATATTCGTTTCAATGTTGTTTAATTATAACAATATAATTGTTAACTATAACAATTTGCTAATGAAATATAATATAATGTTATTATAATTCTTTTTATATTTATAATTATATAAAATAGCAATGTAATTGTTAATTGGATATTGGACTAGGTTCCAGACAAAAATTTATTAACGAAATTAGACTCAGAAAAATACAAAATAACCCAACTCTTAGGGATATTATGATGCTTATTTTATTAAGAAGTGCTCCTCCATAGCACTAATTTTTTTTTTTAATTTTTATTTTACCTAAACATATTCCTTTCAATGTTGTTTTATTATAACAATATAATTGTTAACTATAACAATTTGCTAATGAAATATAATATAATGTAATTATAATTCTTTTTATATTTATAATTATATAAAATAACAATGTAATTGTTAATTGGATATTGGACTAGGTTCGACACAAAAATTTATTAAGGAAATTAGACTCAGAAAAATACAAAATAACTCAACTCTTGGTTAGGGATATAATGATGCTTATTTTAATAAGAAGTGCTCTTCCATAGCACTAATTATTTTTTTTTAATTTTTATTTTACCAAAACATATTCGTTTCAATGTTGTTTAATTATAACAATATAATTGTTAACTATAACAATTTGCTAATGAAATATAATATAATGTTATTATAATTCTTTTTATATTTATAATTATATAAAATAGCAATGTAATTGTTAATTGGATATAGAAAAATTTTGTTGAAAATAAATATAATTGGTTTTCTTTTTTTTAAGAAAAGTTGAACAAATTTGAAAAGCTTCTGTATTAAACATTATATTGTAAATATTAGATATTATAACCCATTTAAGAAGTATCTTTAATATTTTTACCTTTATAGCGCTACAGAATTGGAAGTTTCATCTGAAGGGTCTATTAATTACATTTGTTGAACAGTTAGCATTCTTAATCAAGCTCCTGCTCATTTGTTTACTGCAGTTAACTTTTTTGTACTTGACTAAGCATTCGCTTAAAGTTTAATTAGTTTGTTGTTATTAATTTGACAAAAGCACTTCAGCCGTAATAGGCATGTTTGTTTACATTTCATTACTTCACTGAGTTCGTTTGGTAATAAAATTCCAACTCATGTTATTTATAATCAACTTCTTAACTGTTTTCTTATTCTTTCGTGCCACTCTTTTTTTTTTTTTTGACTTTTCCAACTCAGATCGGGCATGAAAACAAATTTTGAACTTAACCAACAAGTTAAACTTTTACGATTCTATCAGAGCTGAAATGGCTTTGGTGCCACTCCCTCAACTCTCTGGAGCGCACAAACATAAGAAAAAACTTTTATTGCCAAATTCTTAACGAATTAAAAGTATCTACGCTATTACAAGTGTGTTGCGGTTAGGTTTCACCGCAAATTGTGGTTAAATTCAAGTGCTGACGCCTAAATGTATGCTGTAGATTTAATTACGTTAAAAGGCGCCATACAACTACGAGTCTCAACCGACTTCAACGCGGTTTGCAATCTTAACAAGCGAAAAATCTACAAATTAATTACTTAATCAGGAAAGTGTTTAATACTTATGCAAAATAGAGCAGCCAAGTAGTTGAAAGGTGAAAAGCGAAACCCAGCGAAGAACCCAGATGAAACGGAAACGAACACCGTCTCGAATGCGAAAACTTACGCATTTTACTTCTTATACACACGTTACAGTTGAGTAGATGATTTCACAGAAAGTATGAAATTCAATTAAAATACATTAATTTGCTGTGAATCATTACCATCTCCACCAGTACCTCTTTTTGCGCTGTATGGCCCCGTCAAATGTTCAGCTGCTGAACTGAACTGAACTGAACTCAATCGAGAATACTTGCTTTTGATGAGATCATGCGGCAACAGAGTTCAGTTGGAAATTTAATAAGTGCGATTTAAATATTTGAAGCACAAAAAGGTTAAATAATTTACCAGATACACTTGGTATAAATTGTAGGTTGCGAATTGTTTTTAACTTAAAGTTCTTTTGCCGTACATATCAGGCCTCAGCCACTGGTTCGCACCATTAGCAACACCGCGAATTTGGACTAATTGGAGTTTAATTATTAATAAAAACCATCTTTCCAAAATTTAAAAATTAATGAACTGAGATTTTGGAACTTTTGGCCAATGAGATTGATTTTGGAGCCATTGTGCACTGGTCCATATTATATAGCATTTTTGCCTTCAACCATATTTTTTTATTGGAAGATGTTGATATCGGTCCTTAGAAAAGACAATCAATTTCTTATCGACCTTTTTAAAACAAGTAGAATATGAAGTACGATGTGATTAAAATACACTTGGGCAGATGATAACTCAGTATTAGAGAAGTTTTAGGTTTACAAAATTATAATGAAGTAATAAACTAAAAAATTAGGAATAATAATAATTATTGAGAATAATAAAAAATAAATAAATTAACTTTTTGAGAGAGATATAAGATAAAATTTATCTTATAGACATCAAATCAAAAATTAAAAAGAAAAAAATAATTTAAGACGTTTTTAGGTGACCATTAGCTGTCCTGAACAACAGTTTCTTTTAGTTAGAGTGGTGGTGTTAAAACCGTTGCATAAAGGTTAATATAAATGATTATCGTAGTTTTGTATAATTCAACATGATTCTATATCGTCACAAATAGCACACCCATAGCACATATGGGTGTTTACAAGGAAGTAGGCCAGAACTTATAACTTACAAATTTTGCATTAATTATAAAAATAGTGCCATTATTTAGTACGAAATGTGTCTTCAGAAATTGCTTTATAAATTTCATGAAAAGTCGAGTTCAAAAAATAACAGAATGTTAATGTGCTTCAAAAAGTCTTATCAGTATTCCGACTTATCTGTACGATTATAGGGTACCCTGAAGACGGACGTTTTTAGAATACATAAAATAATTTTTAAATTTTTATGTCAAAAATCAATTATGAAAAAAAAACTATTCATATAATTTATTTATTTAATAGAGAAATTTTTGAAGAGTAGTGAATTACAACAACAAAATTTTATTATTTTAAATTAATTACATTTTTGACTGACCATATAGCTGT